ATAGTTTAAGGTATCTTGGTGCTTCCATATGCCCATCTGACATTTTCTGGAGCATGGCACATTCCTTTGGCCTACAGACCGATTTTTCTTCATTTCAATGAGCCTTCTTTGGACCTATTTTTATTAGAATTTTCTGTCCCATTTGTTGAATTTTCTACATCTGGGACTCCAATGGTTCCAATGCTTTGATTCTATTTTGCTTGCCTTCCACAATAGCTTCTTTCTACTTGTCTCAATCTTTTTCAGCTGAATTCACTGGCCTTCCTCATGAGGCTTTCCTCTATTAAAATACTTTTATTTCTACAACCATTTGATCTTTGACAAACCTGACAAAAACAAGCAATGGGGAAAGGATTCCCTGTTCAATAAATGGTGTTGGGAAAGCTGGCTAGCCATGTGCAGAAAGCAGAAACTGGACCCCTTCCTGACACCTTACACTAAAATTAACTCCAGTTGGATTAAAGACTTAAACATAAGACCTAACACTGTAAAAACCCTAGAAGAAAATCTAGGCAAAACCATTCAGGACATAGGTGTAGGCAAGGACTTCATGACCAAAACACTAAAAGCATTGGCAACAAAACCCAAAATAGACAAATGGGATCTAATCAAACTCCACAGCTTCTGCACAGCAAAAGAAACAGTCATTAGAGTGAATCAGCAACCAACAGAATGGTAAAAAATTTTTGCAATCTACCCATCTGACAAAGGGCTGATATCCAGAATCTACAAAGAACTAAAACAGATTTACAAGAAAAAAACAAACAAGCCCATCCAAAAGTGGGCAAAGGATATGAACAGAAACTTTACAAAAGAAGACATACATGAGGCCAACAAACATATGAAAAAATGCTCATCGTCACTGGTCATCAGAGAAATGCAAATCAAAACTACATTGAAATACCATCTCACGCCAGTTAGAATGGCGATCATTAAAAAATCTGGAGACAACAGATGCTGGAGAGAATGTGGAGAAATAGGAACACTTTTTACACTGTTGGTAGGAGTGTAAATTAGTTCAACCATTGTGGAAGACAGTGTGGCAACTCCTCAGGGACCTAGAAATAGAAATTCCATTTGACCCAGCAATCCCATTACTGGGTATATATCCAAAGGATTATAAATCATTCTACTATAAGGTCACATGCATATGAATGTTCATTGCAGCACTGTTTACAATAGCAAAGACTTGGAACCAAACCAAATGCCCATCAATGATAGACTGGACAGGGAAAATGTGGCACATATACACCATGGAATACTATGCAGCCATAAGAAACTATGAGTTTGTGTCCTTTGTAGGGACATGGATGAACCTGGAAACCATCATTCTCAGCAAACTGACACAAGAACAGAAAATCAAACACCGCATGTTCTCACTCATAGGCGGGTGTTGAACAATGAGAACACATGGACACAGGGAGGGGAGCATCACACACTGGGGTCTGTCAGGGGGAAATAGGGGAGGGACATTGGGGGGTGGGGAGATGGGGAGAGATAGCATGGGGAGAAATGCCAGATATAGGTGATGGGGAGGAAGGCAGCAAATCACACTGCCATGTGTGAACCTATGCAACAATCTTGCATGTTCTTCACATGTACCCCAAAACCTAAAATGCAATAAAAAAGAAGTTTTCATCATCACACATATATGTATACCTATTATGTATAAGTGTTTCTATACACACTTCAACGATGTAAAAAAAAATACTTTTATTTCAGCAGTATTTCTCCTGTTCTTTCTACTATGTATTCTGTCACTATGTTTTCATGGTCTTCAATTTTTTCCTTTAGGTCTGCAATCTCCCTTTTCATCTCCAATTTACAATTTTCTCATCTTTGAGTTTATTTTATTGGATTTATATTTTTATCAAGTTGTTGTACAGTGTAAGGCAATGGTAATGAACTTCTTCTGTTCCAAGTGTAATTCTTTCTTTTTAGTAAGATGCCTTGCAAACCATGTTGTTCTTTCCTTTCCTCCCTACCCCCCCGTACCATTTCTGTTCACTTTGCTGGTGCTAGGTTGCCTTTAGTACCTTCTACTGATATGGCAGAGTGAAACCTTAACTTCCTTTTTACACCGGTCCCTGATTCCAGTTTGTTCTGTAAAGCCTAGGCAACTTCTTTAGCCCAGAAAGTGGGTGCCCAGAGGACTTTCCCCTATGGCACTCACCTCCAGCCAGCATAAAGGGCCCACTGCTCCTTTGTCAGAAAAGAAAAAAAAGCAAAGTATGCTGAGATTGTTTCCTTTTTTTTTTTTTGAAAACAAGGACAAGATCAGTTTCCTTCTTTCCTATTTATTACAGAGAATTCTCAAGCTTTTGATGACTCACCACTATAGTTTCTGGTGGTTGAGACACACTTAAATTTTAAATATATTTTTTTAAGCTTGAGAATTAGAAACAAATAAATGAAAACCAGTGACACTGCTGATGGATAGCTCCACGTACCATTTGGTAAAATCCTGGCTTGTGGTGTAACTCGTTTTCTTGCTGGGCTCAGAGACAATTTTTGGTGGTTCTGAACTCCTCTCCATCATACACACCTCACTTTTTCCCTCTTTTGTTTTCTCTTTTCTGTACCTCTAAGTCAGCCAACCTCCTTTGCCAGCTCCCTGTTTTTCCTTTACTCTTCTCTGAATTACATACTCCCCACTTTCATTCTTCCAAAGGAGGAAGAAGAGCCCTCAGAGACAGTGCTGTCAAGCTCTGCTCTCCCTAATGTTTCACAAATGATAAAATGCACATTTTTTTTTTCACATTCGAGCATTTCTGAAATGAGAATGCTTTGTACAGTGGCATGGCATAGCATGATTGACAGTGTTTTTTTCTTACTTGATTACATAAAATGAAAGTGCATCTAATAAGAAATGGCATTTTAGTTTGCATTGATAAACATGATGATTGAGCCTGTAATTCCAGCACTTTGGGAGGCTGGGGCAGGCAGATCACTTGAGGTCAAGAGTTCTAGTCCAGCTTAGGTCACATGACGGAAATCCCATCTCTACTGAAAATACAAAAATTAGCCAGGCATAGTAGCACACTCCTGCAATCTCAGCTACTCAGGAGGATACAAGAGAATCCCTTGAACCTGGGAGGGGGAGGTTGCAGTGAGCCACTGCACTCCGCCCTGGGTGACGGAGTAAGACTCAGTCAAAAACCAAACCAAACCAAACCAAAAACCATGATGATTGATAATGGAAGATGATACATATGATTGACTCTTGAACGGTCTGAAGGTTTATAAAGGTAGCAGGAAAATGAGTCCGATGTGGCTTTGAGCTGCAAGTGTGAGCCATGGAATATATATTTTAATAAATGCATCACTTCTAAGACAGTACCTTTTGGGTTATGGTCCTTTTCATACTATTTTTTTGAAATGATTTTTTTTTTGGCCTGGTGTGGTGGCTCACGCCTGTAAGCCCAGCACTTTGGGAGGCCAAGGCGGGCGGATCACGTCAAGAGATCCAGACCATACTGCCAACATGATGAAAACCCGTCTCTACTAAAAATACAACAATTAGCTGGACATGGTGGCACGTGCCTGTAGCCCCAGCTACTCGGGAGGCTGAGGCAGAAGAATGGCTTGAACCCACGAAGTGGAGGTTGTAGTGAGCCAAGATCGTGCCACTGCACTTCAGTCTGATAATAATAAAATGAAATAAATAAAATTTTAGACAAATCAAAATTGTCAAATCATGTGAACCAAACTCAGATTTTCTTTAACTTTTCAATAAACACATGAGAAACTTTAGAGGAAATATAGGTAATAAAAATGAGTCATATACATTTTTGATCATCTAAAACGGTAGAAAACAACTTTATGAACAATAGAACTTACAAGTTCAAGTCATGTCCTGAGACAAACAGATAAAGCCTTATCTGCTATGCCTTAATTGCAAGGAAAGTTTATCAGGCATTTTCCTTAGGGTGGATTTTAATAGAGTCTCTGCACAGATGGATTTGGGGTGGGTGGACAGGATACTTAAAAACCTTGGCAAGCGGTGGGACTTAGCCCCTGGGCCAGTTAGCACACAAGGAGGACACCAGCGTTCCTGGAGCCAGCTCCAGCACCTCCCACCATTCACTCCACGCTCAAGCACGGTATATTAGTTTCTAAGACTTGCCAAACAAAACAGGGAAATTAAAATAAATAAATAAAAGAAAGGAGTGGGAATACCCAGAATCAATAAAACCATCGCTAACTAAATAAACAGGCTGATGGAGTCAATTCTCTACTGTGTGTAACGGATTGATTTGCTCAGGGTTGAAACGTGCCAACCGCCTCCACGCAGTCGCGGAGTATCTTCCCAGTATCTCCCTTTTCCGACCCCTGGAGGGTGACCCCCTCTGTCACAGCGGCCACGTCCCCTCGCCTTCCCCCTCCTGCCTCCAAGGAGCGGATCCGAAGGGGCGTAGGCCACTCCAGCCCTGGCTGCCCTCTGTGACCCCTCCGCGGGTCCGAGGGAGCGCTAATCCCAGGGGGCCTCACGGGGCGGGCTAGAGATCCTGAACCCGAGCCCCGGGCGGGTGAGCCGGTTTTTCAAGGTAAGATGGACCTGGAGGAACGCGGCCCTCAAACTTAGCACCGACTCACATCTTGCAATGGCAAGTGCTCGGTGTCCCGGGCATCCTGGTGCTGTGGGTGGGATGTGGAGGGGTGCAGAGCGGGGCGCAACGAAAGCGGCTCCCAGCAGGGGCGAAGCGTGGAGGGCGCGGGGCAGGGCCGAGGGCAGTGGCCCGCGAGCGGCCGCGGGGAGAAGGGCGGTGGACGCCCCGGGGCCACCCGGAGGGGTCCTGGGGTCGTAGGCGCGGCGCGGGGAGAGAGGAAGGGCGCGCGAGTCGCATCCTCGGGGCGCCGAGGGAGGGCAGGAAGGGGAGGAGTCGGGGAGAGCTAGCGGGAACCGGAGGGGATTTCGGGAATCGCAGCGTGAGGCAGCGTTTGCCTTCCAGTCAGCGGCCCTCGCGCTGCGCTCCCGCGTCCCCACCAAGCCGCGTTACCTTTGCAGCTCTCGCCTCGCGGCTCCCCAGGGGTGCCAGCCTCGCGCCCTAGCCGCCCCGGGCTCCGGGACAGGACGCTCGCGGCCGGGATGCGCCCGGCGGTCGGCCTCTCGGACGGAGGCGGCTGGCGGGGGACAAAAGCTGGCCGTGCGGCTGGGTGTGGCCCGCGGACTTTGCTAGGGGAGCTGTTCGGCTCGCCTGCGGATTCCTCCCCGCGGGGAAGAAAGGTCTTTAGGGCGGCTGCGAGAGCCGAGCGCCCGCCGGCGAGTAGCGCGAGAGGGCTGGACCCGCGCGGGGGCGGAGCCGGGGCCGGGGCGGGGCCGGAGCAGGGGGCGGGGCCGGGGACAGGGTGGGAGAATACAAACAAGGTCCCGTCGTTTACAAGCCTCTGCTGCGGATTGTCGGCTCCTAACCAATCCTCCGCTCTGCCGAGAAGGCTCCATAGGGGAAGGGATAAAGAATTTGGGGCTGTTTTGTTTACTGCAGTATCCTCAGGGGCTAGAATAGTGTCTGGCATTTAGAAGACACTCAAAAACATGTTGAGTGAATGAATGAATGAACGAACTAAAGAGTGAATGGGTTCTCTCCTGACTCCCTCACTTATTAGTTGTGTAAACCTCCACGATCATAATTCTCCAACCAGTAAAACGAGGATAAAAATATCTACCATTGAGTAAATGTTGTAAATATTTAAAACATTCCCTGTTTTAGATTCTCCTCCCTTCTCTGTGGGTCTCTCCTCCATACTCCTACCCTTCCCTCAAACCCCCACATAACAACGTGTTTCAGGATAGGCGGAAAGACAGATATGCTTCATGTTTGTCTACCTGTTATTTATGGCCTGTCAGCTTCCAAAATAAACTCTGAGGCTGGGCGCGGTGGCTCACACCTGTAATCCCAGCACTTTGGGAAGCCGAGACAGATGGATCACCTGAGGCCAAGAGTTCAACACCAGCCTGGCCAACATGGTGAAACCCTGTCTCTACTAAAAATACAAAAATTAACTGGGCGTAGGGGTGGGCGCCTGTAATCCCAGTTACTCAGGAGCCTGAGGCAGTAGAATAGCTTGAACCTGGGAAGTGGAGGTAGCAGTGAGCTGAGATTGCACCATTGCACTCCAGCCTGGGTGACAAGAGTGAAACTCCGTCTCAAAACAACAACAACAAAAACCCAAACCCCAAAATAGGCTATGAGGGAGATTTCAAGTAAAATGTATGTATATTCTAAACATTACAGCTACTAAAATGGAAATGTTAATATCTTTTTGAAGGAGAGGGGGAAAAAAATACCCTAACCACCTAAATTATTTAAACTGAGTATTCAATCTCACTTTTAGCTTTCTGGCCTTGTAGGAACGGGAGGAAAAGGATGTTACATACTTTTTGTAGATGGAAAAAATGAGCCTTTTAATCTATGAAGTCAACAAACATTTGCTGATACTTCTTTAAGGCTAGGCACAAGGGTGATCATAAACAGCATGTCACAGTCCTGCCTCTCATGTGACCCTTGGCAGAATTCTCACCAGTCCCCTAAGATCTGAAGGGAACTTATTTAGGATCCTATTCCTTATAAAAGACATTCAACATTGGAAATATTTTCAGCCACAGTTTTAGAGAATTTGCAGAAATAGGCTCTGAAAATGGGGGAAATCCAATACCAAACTCCATGTGCCACATGCACTCTTTTATATAAACATATATATTAATTCAAAACTATATCAAAATGTTAACTATGACTTATTGCAGATTGGATGATAGTAGGTGATTTTTATTTTGTTTCCTTTCCAAACATTCTACAGTAAATATCTTGCTTATATTATTAGGGAAAAAAGTTTTAAAAACAAATGTAGTCTATCTTGATATGTGAAGAGCTTGGAAGTTGTCACTCCACTCCCCACAACGAGAAAAGCTGAACAAATTGAAGATCAATAACTCTTCTTGTTTCGGTATCAGTGAATCGAGTCACAGGGCAAACTACAAAAACTGGAGAGACAGACAAATGAGAAGAATCACAGATTACAGGGACCAGAGCCTCTGAAATCATAGCAAAACTTGAATTATAATTGACTAATTACTGGAGACTGAGTGTGGACTAGCTTGAGAGTTAAACACTGGTGGGTACTCAGTCTTGGTGGTATACTCCCCAACTTGCTTGAGGTTTAACTCCAAGAAGGTTTACCAAGTTCTTGTGGTAAAGACCACAGAAGAAATCCTGTCTGGCCAGTGGGAGAGGATAAATAACCATTTTGAGATATGCCCAGAGTGTTCTGTAACAAAAAACTTTCCTCAAGGGGAATTACATTACTGGAGCCTAAACTGACCTAGCAGAAGGGCAATTAGACAACTCAGCCCCCTGTAGCCTTCCTGTCTATCATGACTGAAGGAAAAAAGCAAAGGCAAAGAAACTTCTCTGAGGATCATAGCCCAGAGACTCAGGCCCATAAAGTGAATCCCTGGGATTTAATCATAAGATTGTAGAATGTTTTGCCTGCATAGTATCTTACCACCAGATCAATAGGACTCTGTGGTATGATAAACAGTGGATTACAATTCCATTTAAGAAGGCATTTCTAGGAAAACCCAAAGACAATGGAGGAGACAAAAATGAGGACACTAGATAAAACGGAAGCCTCTGACACCTACAACTATAGCAAATGTTTAATACAGCCCAATTGTTAGCCAGATAAACACAAAACCTCATCCTAAAGGATGGTTTGTCTCAGCTCCCATGACCTGATATGTTATATCTAGCTTTTACCAAAAATGTACAAGGCATGCTGAAAGGCAGACAACTCTAAGCACAATTGGAAGAGACAAAGCAAGCTTAGAAATAAGACTCAGAGATGGCAGAGAATTTACAAATCAGACCAGGAATTTAAAATCATGATGATTGCTATGCTAAGGGTTTTGTGTTATAGAAAAATATCTGGTTTGGTTTCCGCCCAGAGCTCCTAAATCCCCTGTAATCTCCTGAATAATAGGGGCGATACAAGTTATAATGAGGCTACTCTTGGTGGGCCCCTGGATAGCTTTTGGATGGAGGCTGGTCAGCAAGAATACCAAGCTTCATAATCAATAAAGCCTGGAACTTTCAGCCCTACACCTTCCACCCCAACCTCCAGGAAGGAGAGAGGGACTGGAGATTGAGTTAATGATCAATCAGGCCTACTTGATGTAACCTCCATAAATAACCCCTGAACAACAGAGTTTGAAGAGCTTCTGGATTGGTTAACACACTAAGGTTCTAGGGGGGTGGTGTTAGAGAGGGCATGGAAGCTCAGTGCCCGTTTCCCCCATACCTTGTCCTAGCTTTCTCCTCCACTTGGCTGTTCCTGAGTTGTATCTTTTATATAAACCAGTAATAGTAAGTAAAGTGCTTTCCTGAGTTCTGTGAGTATCTGTAGGGTTTTTTTTTTTAGATGTTCTTCATCGGGTTGAGAATAACTGTTCAAAATAATAATAGCAGCAACATATTAGGTGATTATAGCTTATGAATAACTAAAATGTATAATAGCAATGTTATAAGTGTTGAGAGGCAGATATTGGGAGTACTGTCTTCTAAGATACCTGTGTGCTACCCGTGAATTAGTGTATTGTTATTTGAAAATGGACTTAGATTAGTTATAGTGTATATTGCAAACTCTAGGGCAGTTGCTAAACATTTGTTAGAAAGAAGTATAATTAATGTGATGGTTAATATTGAGTGTCAACTTGATTGGATTGAAGGACGCAAAATATTGTTCCTGGGTCTATATGTGAAGGTGTTGCCTAAGGAAATTAAAATTTGAGTCAGCGGACTGGGAAAGGCAGACCCACCCCCAATCTGTCGGGGGGGCACCATCTAATCAGCTGCCAGTATGACTAGAATACAAACAGACAGAAGAATGTGGAAAGACTAGACTGGCTAAGTCTTCTGGCCTCCATCTTTCTTCCCTGCTGGATCTTCCTACCCTTGAACATCAAACTCTAGCTCATAATAATGTATCAGTATTGGCTCATCAATTGTAAGAAATATACCACATAATGGCAAGATATTATTAATAGGTGCAACTGTGGTAGGGGAAGGGAGTATATGGGAAATCTCTGAACTATATGCTCAATTTTTCTGTAAATGAGGTATATTATTTTAAATGCACTTTGTTCATTAACTCAGTTAATATTTACTTTTATTGCTATTCATGCCAAGGACTGTTATAGGTGTTGGAGAGAGCATGGTGTATGATACAGACCAAGTCTCTGCTCTCTCATGGGACTTATATTCTATTGGGGGATGGTGGTACTGACACAAACCCATGAGTGAACAAGATAATTTCAGAGTGACATGAAGACAAAGTAACCAGGTGGTTAGCTAGGGAGTGCCTGGGAGAGCTACCTTGGACAAGCCGATCTGGAAGGACCTCTCTCAGTTGAGGGCATCTGGACAGAGACTTGAACAATGGAAAGCTTAGCACCCAGAATTCCAGGAAGACCAGGCTAGAAGAAGAACAAATGCTAAAGTCCAAGGCTCTGGAACTGGCACCAGTTAGGGAGGGAAAGGAAGAAGTCCACTGTGGAATCATGGATGACTTGTACTCGCTGGCTTGAGCCATGGGCTGGATGGTGGTATCATGAATTGACCTGGGAAAGACCAAGAAACCCTCTAGGGTTGGAGGGTGGAAATGAAATGTCAGGAAAGCAGTGCGAGAATCCTAAGGCCTGTGAGTGGGCACAGCAAGGTGGGTAGCCATGCCAAGCAGAATTGGGGGAACCATGGAAGTTCATCATGGGTGACAGAACCTGAACACAACCTAAGCCTGGCATGATCATTGGGCAAAGGGTGCATCCATCGGTGAAAACTGCTTGGCACAGGGGGTTGGAGCATGATGAAGTCCTGCAATGTGAGGGTGGCATCCACATGGGGTAGTGGGGTGGGGCCCAGTGTGAGACTCAGAACCTGAGAGGATTGAGGAGGAAATTCTCATAGGGACAGCCTGGAGTGGGGTCTTGGGGCCCAAATGGGTTGAAGAGGGCATCTATGCTGGGAAGAAGATGGCAGCAGGAATGGGAGAGTGGTTGCACGTGGGTGATCGATAAATATACAAATATAGTAAGGATAATGGGTGCTAGGGTTCTCATTGAGAAGGAAGTTGCAAGAATTGAAAGGGGGAAACTAGAACTAACCCTATAATAGGGGTTGGAATTGGAGGTATTGATGTGAACTCATGATTTTCTATAAATAGATAGATGGATGGATAGATAGATGGATAGATGAACAGATAGATAGGATAGATAAATATAGGATAGGCCAGATGCAGTTGCTCA